TTTTTTTTTTTTTTTTGTCTTTTTGCATTTAGAAATTAAGACTCCTGTTCAACTCCCTGTACTTTTATGTTTAGCCTTCTGGTATTCCCAATGTCTTCAAAGAACAAAAACTTTCTTCATTTTTTTAATCATTTTTATTTTACATTTTGGTAATTGCTGGAATTTTTCCTTCAATGTGCTGATTCTATGAGATTGTGTTTGTATTTTTATGATTTTTTAACATAGACAAAATTTAATTTGGTATGAAGACATGCAACTCTCTTATTGTAAAAATGTCTTTCAGACAGTCAAGAAACATGTGATAAGTCAATCTTAGGAATATACAGATAACACTGATTTGGAGCTGAATGCCCAGTTGCTATCTTTCAACTTTGCCAAAATTTACAAGGCCAACCAAGCCAGAGTAATATAAAAGTCAGGTCTTAAACCAAACCATACCGGGTCTTGAAGAAAGAATTTTGATATGCACAACCCAGATTAGGCATCACTGTGGACAGCAGAAGTCATAGGAACATAGGTCAGAAGCTGAAATTTATGGAAAGTCAACTGTATCTCCTGTTAAGTGTTAGGCAAGTAAAGATGAGCTCAAGACAACTTAAGTCCCATGGGGAAGGTAGTAACTCTGAAAAGCATCTGCTAAAACCTCTGGCCACTGCTGGCCACCTCTAAAGTTAGTTTTTGTTTATTTTTATTTTTTAATGTATTTACATTTATTGATATATAATTTTCTATCTCATTAATTGAACTTTTCATTTGCAACATTCAGTTTGGATTTTTTGTTTTAAGGTCCTAGGTAACAAAGTAGATCTTCATGATTAAAACCACAAGCCACCTACAGGGAAAAATACCAAATAAATTTAAAGCCTGCAGCACAAAAAAAAAAAAAAAAAGAAAGACATATCTTCAATAATCAATCTTAATGTCACAAGAATGGAATATCAACAATGAATTCACAATAAATATTATGAAAAACAACTAGGTTAATCAAATCTAACACAAAACAAAATATTAATGGAATAACAAAGGAAATGCAGGGGGTTGAAGCACAGCACTAAGAAGCTAAAGTCACTTCAGCATGAGTTTGATCCCTGCCCTGGAGGTGACCCATATGGCGTGGCAGACCTCTCCTGATCCGCCCACTGCTCCCCTCAGCAGTGTATTTGGTGTATTCATGAAGAAAAGGGACTGTTTGGAATGGGGTTTCTATCAGTCACTGTCTTGGTAGAGATGCTCAAACTCTGTCTGTAATCTCTCACTGGACTCACACTCCTTGTGACTACATGTATTCTCTATCTAAGCACAACAGCATTGAGAGACCAGACCCCACTTCCAAACTCAGATACATGTATCTATAATTGGTAGTAATTTTCTTGATTACATAGCTCCTTTCATCTTCCAGGAGTGACAAAGGAGTGACTTGTATCTTCCAAACTCAGATACAAGTATCTATAATTGGTGGTAGTTTCTTAGATTACATAGATCCTTGAATCTTCCAGGAGTGACAATAGGAATTCAGACTCTCATGCTTGTGTCTACTTAAACTGCTGAGATTCAGTGTCACCTAGATTTGGCAGATAGTGTGTATCAGCCCCTCCTCTGAGAAAGAGTGCACAAGAGTTTCAAAAAGGTTTGGCTTTAGAAAATTTTCCCTTTCCCTTCTTATATGTGATTTGCACTGATGCAGGTGTGTACCCTGTCAGAAATAGTTGGAAAACAGATTTTCTAACTTGTTGCAGCTTGACTCTAGAGAGCAACAGGTTCTTAGTACTAGTCAGAGCAGAAGGGTCGGGGTGGGGCTGAGCCTGCCACACTATTCTTATGAAAATTCACTGTGTTTCTATGTCATATCATGACATACAGCTTCAGAAGGCAACATTGATCTTCTATTCATGTGATGTAGTTTGAAAGATTCATAGAGACAAGCTCCCACATAAGTCTCAGCTTTCCACTGCTTGTAATGCTTCTGCTCTGCAATGGTTGCATTAACAGTTTCAAATTCTCTTTCTACCTCCACACTTACAATTGGATTTTGGCTACTCACCTTCAACATTGTTGAAGAATGAGGAGCCAAACATCCTCCAGTAATAAACAGATGTGAGGCATATGAGTTATTTAATTTATATATATTTAAATATTTATTTATATATATTCAGAACTGGGGTGCATGGCAGAGGTGCAGGGTCAATGAGAGGATTCACCAGAAACAGAGTGGGGAGCAGAACAGGCAGATTGATAAAGTACACTGATAAGGGGAGCGAGGCAGGAGAGCTCTGTTGCAACATGTAGGCCAAGGAATACTTGGCCAGGGATTGAATTGGTGCTGAAGTGGTTTTGACAAGCTGCGTGCTGTTGCGCTTTAACCCATCATATCACCTCATGGATTGTGTGTTACAGAGATATTTTCCTGTTGGGGTTTTTCCAATCACATTTTTTTTGGGCCATAACCTTCCCTACCATGTATTATTTTCTTTCTTTCTTTCTT